CCTAATCTCAATATTGCTGCCATTGAACACATCTTCCATACTATATGGGGCTTGTCATGTTATGGATATTCATTTTGGATTTGCTGTCCCCCAAAATAGTACGTTTGTAACGTGTGTCCTTGTGTTTTCATTCCACTTCCTGCACAATTTTGGTTATTTTTGGTGTCATCAATATTTTGGCGATTCAATCTTCAATAATTATAGTATTGTAGGTTCATATTACCAAAAGTAGAAATTAGTATCATATAGCAGTAAAATATATATGTGCAGATAGTATTTTGCATTTATCCCACATACTACTTACATCTGTCTCCTTTCTGCTTGTCTAGTTCCCTCTTCTCCATTTTTCCTTCCCATTTCATAACTTTTTCTTTTTCTATGATGTATGTGTGTACACATGCGCAATGATATGAACATGTATGCATGTGGCACATATCTGACCAAACATTGATGTTGATATCCCTGACTTTGGCTGATTTTGCTTTATGTGACAATTTCCACTTCCATTCATTTTCTTATACATAATCTTACTGTATTCTTAGTATATAAATCATTCTCCACTGTACATATGTTTCAACTTACAGATCCATGCATACATGGACTCTATTTAGCCTGTCTCCAAGATTCCATATTGAGTAGTGCTACAGAATACATGGATATATAGGGGTCCCTCTTGTATTATATTTGTTTTATTCCTTTGGACAAAAGATCTGAAACAGTATACCTAGATCTTCTGATAGTTTTATTTTCATTTTTGAGGAAATGACATGTTTCCTCTGGCCAGAACCATCGCTAGCATGGGATCCTGGATGGTAGGAAGTATAGGAAGTGAGCTGGACACTAGCTGCCACTGCTTTCCACTTCCTCTCTGTAGGTATTACTCAGCCAGCTGCTTCAGGTCTTTCTGCCTTCACTTCCCACTAAGATTGACTATCCCAGAGTAAATGCTCTCTTCTGTTGGGACTTTTTTCTGATTATTTATTAGAGTAACAGGAAGAGAAGCTCAAATCTGGACATTTCCAACATCTTGGTTTCTCTGTCCTTACTGTACAATGTCTATATACAGTTAAAATATCTGTACCTAAGAACTTCAAGACTGCCACAGTGTATCGCTAATGCTTAATGTGTCCCTTCCACCTCTACTGTACAGTACTCCTCCTACTTCTGACTCCCAGGATTGTCCACTGACATTTGAAGTCTAGAGAGACGAGCAGTGGTAACTTTCATTCCAAGGGAACATGAGTGTCTCTTGGAGACTCCTTGCATCTGAAAAAGCAACTTCAATATCCATAGAGCCTGAATTTACATTAAGAAAGATATGTCTTCCCAAATGATCACTGAGAGTGTAGCTGAGTAATTTAGCTTGCACTTTGATGTACTAGTTTCCTGTATTTGAATTCTGTATATTAGTTAATATATTTTCTTTATTGGAGAGGAAGCCACATACACTGCTTAATGCTTTGAAATATATATATTCAAATGTGTGTGTGTGTGTGTGTGTGTGTGTGTGTGTGTGTGTGTGTGTGTGTGTGTGCTGTATCCTGAAAGCAGAGATTCACTCTCATAGGATGCCATTTCTAAGCTGTCTTCAAGAGGTGGTGGCATCATGCTATTGTTTCATTTGTTCCTTGATGGTACAGTATGGAATAAGACAGAACCGTGGACCCTGTGTTGTGTTAGTATTTCATGGCTCCACATTCATTGCTGTCCTAGGTGTGGTTATTTAGGATTCCACGTGCCAGTTCCAATACTTTGGCCTAAGCACACGAAGACATTGCAAGCTTAGCGGGCAGGCTCTTTCCCGGGCTGAACGTGAACTCATTGAGAAACAATCAGTCCGTTAAAGTTCTCAAGAGATCACACCAGACGGGGGGTTCCACATTAGTTTCTTGCTTGCATAGAATGCATTGAACAGAGAATTTCCTTGTTTCTTTGGGCTGGACTCTTGAACGCAGCACCAGGCCAGAATGCGCATTCCCCTGCATCTTCTTGAGCATGTTCAGAATATTCAGTGTCTTGTACATCAGATCTGACCGAAATGATGCCATTAATATTATGAGGCAACAGGGTGTTCTGTTGCTGTCCAAAGGTTCACGTCTCATTAAAATGTGTTGTGATGGAGAGGAGAATTAACACGGCCCTGAGTCAAGGCAGTAAAGTTATACGACTGCAGTGGATGTACCTCTGCTTCTCCTTGCTTGGGTATATTAAAGAGTTGATTTGCCAGTCCATTCTCTACTGCTCAGTCTAGACACCAAGAACTTGTTCAAAGTCACACTGCACATGTATCACATCAACTGCTATTGCTGGGCCATGTGGTCATCCACGGTTGTCAGTCTCCAGCCATCTCTTTGACGTGGGACTTCACATACAGGGACACAGGACAGATCAACAGTCCCTCCATTTTCATGCCTTTGAAGGCAGCCCCGGCGTCTGATATTTATTTTCTACCTCGCCTGCAGTATGATGAGGGGGGTTAGGTTGTTTCAAGGGTTTCCTGTGGCTTTTTTTTTTAAAGATTTATTTATTTATTTATTATGTATACAACATTCTGCCTCCATGTAACCTTGCACACCAGAAGAGGGCACCAGATCTCATTACAGATGGCTGTGAGCCACCATGTGGGTGCTAGGAATTGAACTCAGGACCTCTGGAAGAGCAGTCGGTGCTCTTAACCTCTGAGCCATCTCTCCAGCCCCTCCTGTGGCTTTTTATTGTGTAGTTTTTACTCCGTGGCTCAAGGAAAGAAGTTGCTGGATTTCACACACATGCACTGAGTAAATGACCTTCAGGGACAGACTATGAGAGCGGCCTAGGGAAGACACATTTGCTTTCTGACTGTCACTGACAGACTCTGATGGGGACTGTGTCTGCATTCTCATACCAATGTGGTATTGTATTCCTCCAAATATTGTGCATGCTAATAAACTTATCTGGGGTCAGAGACAGAGCAGCCACAATATTAAACATAAAGGATAGGCAGTGGTAGCACACGCCTTTAATCCTAGCATTCCAGAGGCAGAAATCCATGTGTTCAAGGATACAGACAGGCATGGTGACTCATCATGCCTTTAATCCCAGAAAGCAAGCCTTTAATCCCAGGGAATGGTGGTAGAAAGCAGAAAGGTATATAAGGCGTGAGGACCAGAAACTAGAAGCATTTGGCTGGTTAAGCTTTTAGCTGGTTAAGCTTCAGGCTTTCGAGCAGCAGTTCAGCTGAGAGCCATTGGGATGAGGATACAGAAGCTTCCAGTCTGAGAAAATAGGACCAGTTGAGAAGTTGGCCAGGTGAGGTTAGCTGTGGCTTGTTCTGTCTCTCTGACCTTCCAGTGTTCACCCCAATAATTGGCCCCGGGTTTGATTTTATTAATAAGAACTTTTAAGATTCATGCTACATACCAAGTTTTGTGTGTGAGCTCCCTTCTACTCTCTAGCAGCCTCCACATGCATGTGTATCATTCCCCTGGAGATGCGTGTAATAAAGGAGCAGAGGAGTCATCACTGTGTACACCAGCTGAGGGCTTTTAACTGGGGGAACCTGCCCGTTTTACAGCTGACATGTCACAGCTCTAAGTCCCACACCAGGGCTGGATGCTGGAGGAATGATAAACCCTTGCCATTGCAGCAACTCATCTCTTCTCCTTGCTCATTTACCATTAAGATCTTGTTTTCTGGTTTAAAATTATTTCTCTTTTGAGATTCTAATATTATTACAGAATTTCCCTTTACCTTTCCACCCACCAAACCCTCTCCTGTATCACCCCTTTCTCTTTTTCAAATTCATGGACTCTTTTTTCATTCTTGTTGTTACATGTACTTTGTGTGTGTGTGTGTGTGTGTGTGTGTGTGTGTGTGTGTGTGTGTGTGTGTGTACACATATACATACATACAACCTAACCTACTCAGTCTGTATCATGTTACTTGGATATATGTTTTCAGGTCTTGCTAACATAACTACCTAAACACAAGCTAAACAAAGACAATGATAATGGACATGTTTAAGGGGGCAAGGGAAAACCCATGAGGCCTCAGCCCTACACAAAGGACTATGGGAAACATAGGAATGCTGAAAGTGAGGGAAGTTGCCTTTCCCAGGGAAGAGCACTCCAATTGGTTATCCAATGCTATTAATACCTTTTACATATACATATGTACAGGCATGTACCCTGCTATAGCTACAGAGACCTGGACTCTGAAATCACGGCCATACCAGTTTTGTCTACATTCACTCTGTTGTGAAGGACATAAATGTTTCTATTGATAACCATTGGTCCCTCTGAGTTACATACCATACCCCTCTACCTCAGTTGCCATTCCTAACTGATTGTTCATAAATCATTATACCCACATTCCTTCTTCCAGTTAAGTGATGCCACCTGGACTGTGGTTCTCTACACATTTACCACTGCCATCACCCTTAGCAAGCTCAGGCCTGCAACAACATCCCCATTAACAAGAGGCAATAGGGACAGAGCCTGGTCCCAGGGCATCCCTGTTCTCAGGCTACTTGGCTTTCTGTGCTCACCTGACCTATTATGCATGAGCCATCAGTCTAAAGCACCTGTATCTTCTGGGGTCACTGGAAGTAATTACAAGAAAGTAAGAATGTGACTACTTACAGGAAGGGAAGAGGTACCACAAAAATGACACCGAGACATGTGGGACCAGGACATAGAATGACAGGTGACAGCTCTCTTGGAAGAAATTAAAACAAAAGCCACTTAGGAGATGGTTCAGCAAGAACTGACAATGAGTCCTAACACGGCAGGAAGGAAATCATGTTTTCCATTCACCTGAAAAATGTAACCAGGAAAAGAAACTTGGCTAATTTGATAATCACCTGTTTATTAACCAAAACAATAACAGAGAAAGAATGCTCCCTGTGAGGACAGCAGCCCCTCAGAGAAGTATAAAAGGGGGTGTGGGCAGGAAGACTCCCACTTCCAAACCTTCCAATCCACCTCCTTGTGAACTCACCCAGAACCTCCACCTCCGACACCATGGTCAACTCCTGCTGTGGCTCTGTCTGCTCTGAGGAGAGCTGTGGCCAAGGCTGCTGCCAGACCACCTGCTGCAGACCCACCTGCTGCCGCCCCAGCTGCTGTGTGTCCAGCTGCTGCAGACCCATCTGCTGTCAGTCTGTGTGCTGCCAGCCCACCTGCTGCCGCCCCAGCTGTTGCATTTCTAGCTGCTGCAGACCTTCCTGCTGCCGTCCCAGCTGCTGCATTTCTAGCTGCTGCAGGCCTTCCTGCTGCCGCCCCAGCTGCTGCATTTCTAGCTGCTGCAGGCCTTCCTGCTGCCGCCCCAGCTGCTGCATTTCTAGCTGCTGCAGGCCTTCCTGCTGCCGCCCCAGCTGCTGCATTTCTAGCTGCTGCAGACCTTCCTGCTGCCGCCCCAGCTGCTGCATTTCTAGCTGCTGCAGGCCTTCCTGCTGCCGCCCCAGCTGTTGCATATCTAGCTGCTGCAGGCCTCAGTGCTGCATCTCCAGCTGCTGCCGCCCCACCTGTTGCCAGACCAGCTGCTGCCGCCCAGCATGCTCTAGCAGTTCTTGCTGCTGAACACTCTCACCCACAGTCTCCTGTTCTTCACCACCCAGCATTCCTGATGTGGACCACCTGTGAGCTGAATCCCAAGAGACCAATCAAAGCTTCTCTTTGAACTTGATTTAAAGCCTCAAAACGCACTCAGTCTCTCTTCCCTAGCCAGACCCTCCCCTCTCTCTCTCTCAAATAAAAACAAATCTGGATTTTCTCTGTAATCTAGTATGTTACTCCTACTCTGATGTTTATTTTCTGTTCTATGTCTATAATACAAGAATTTCTATATATTAAATAAATCTGAATTTTAGATATCCAAATGTAAATGCATCGTATCTCCTTATTTCTCCTTCATTGCTCTTAACTCTCAGCTTTTTTTTAGCTCCACTCAAAATAACAAATAACCCATAGCAGATTAATTTACCTGCGCCCTCTGTTTCCTCTGTGTGCCTGCTATAACGCAGGAAGGTGTTTTCTTGGAGCGGCCATGTGGTTTTCTCTACTGGAGTTTTCTCTGTCTGAGGGAGAAGCCCAGAGGGAGAGTTGAAGCCTGAGACCCAGAGCAAGTGGAAGAAGAGGGTAGGAAGCGCATATTCCCATTGGCACTCACTCACTGAGTACGTCTCAGCCCCGTGTTCTCGGGTGGGAACGGAAGTCAGCCCCATCCGCTAGTGTCCTGCTCCTATGTGCTCTGCTCTGGCTTCCTTCCCATCCTGGATCATTTCTCAAGTGACTCCCTCATCTCAGAGCCCTGTCTTCCTAGTCTCAGTGTTGCTGGCCTTTTGCATATTTTCACATAACATGGGTGGTCACCATAAATGCTGTGACCTTAGGATTGCTTCCCACTGAACTGCAAGTCTTCTCACACTTTTCTCTTTCTTTACAAGTTCTGCACCATTATTTTATCTATTAATCTTTATTTATTTGTCCATTTAGTCCCCATGCTGTATCTGAGCCCTAGAGAGTAGTGTCCATGCCAGTATCACTCTAGAGGAGACAGTGTTTCAAGGGAAGCCACCTCATGGTTTGTGAACTATGTGGGATTCACTAGAAACACAACTGGACCCAGGGATTTTTGCCAAGAGAAAAGTCTAATAAGGAAATTCTCCTGAACACAATCTGGTAGACAGTCATGGAAGCAAGTCAGATTCCTAGAAACTGCTAAGTCCAAATCTGATATCAGTGAAGTCCATCTTTCTGATCGCCAGCAGGCTCTGGAGTAGGAATGCCTCTCCTGGAGACAAGGGTGCCTCAACCTTTGCTCTGTTGCCCAGTGTCACTACCTTAGACCTCCACAGTGTCGGAGAGGTGCATATAGAGCGCATACCTCCTACTGACTGCACATCCATCCACTGATGACAGTTACGCAGAGAGCAGAACGCCATTTGCCTTGTGTCTCACATTAGCAATGTGGACAAGGCATCTTTCTTGTATTCTTTGCACATACTAGGGTGGGGGGAGAGAGAAAGAATGAAGTTGAGTATTTAGGGAGGTGGGAAGCATCAGGGAAGACTTGGGAGAGGGGAAAGAATATGTTCAAAATGTATTGTATATGCCAAATCTTCAACATCTGGCAAAATCCATTCCAGTGGCACAGATGTCATTAACATGACACACGCGTACTTTAGTATCCTTATTACTCAAAAATGACCCGAACTATCAAGACCTTTTCCCTTTGCCCCGCAAAATCCCACAACAATGGGCATCATTCCCATTGGTTAGTGAAAAAATACAGAATAGGAAATATGTCTACACAACTATCATTGTGGTAGAAGATACAGACAGGGAGGGAAAGGGCTATAGTCTTGAACACAGAGACTCACATGACAGCCCTCTGAGAGGGAGACGAGAGCAGCACACTCCAGAAGCAATCAGAACGAAAGATGAGTCAGGAGGAGACCAGATCAGCAGAATTTATCACAACTGGGCAAGAAAATTTTGTTTCTCACAAATTAAGTCATTAAGTGGGTAAATGCTATTCAAACTGACAATTACTCATCTAGACAGGAAATACAAACAAGGAAAGCATACTCACACAATGTGTAAGAGGCTGTGGTAGAGGAACTGTCTAAACTCCAGAACCTTCTTGGGAACCCTCCTGGGTCCCAGCCTCTGACACTGGTCAACTCCTACTGTGACTCTGTCTGCTCATTGCAGGGCTGTAGCCAAGGCTGCTGCCAAGGGAGCTGCTGCCCAGCCAGCTGCATCTCTAGCTGCTGTCATCCCACCCGTGGTGGTTCCAGTTGCTAAGGCTCCAGCAGATGTGCCTGCTGATGTGCTCAGCATGTGGCCAACTCTTCTGTTATACCACATACCATCACCCAACCTTTGTCATCTGCACCAGTCACCGCTCTGTGGACTGTGCCTCTCCTTGCTGCGGATTTCTGTTTGGAATATTTGTCACACCGTGGATGTTTTCACTAGTCACATAAAATGCATGATAGCTACCCAGTGACTGGAAAAATTGGATTCTTGACTACTAAGTCCTCTTTGATGAAACATTAAGAGCTGAATTCAGTTCCTATGGGAAATAGCAAGAGTAAATACAAATGATATTTTAACCCAAGCTGAGCATATCTATTTTTAAACAGGACATATCTGCATCGTGAGTGCTGGCTAATTGCGATGATCTCATAGAGCACTATTTCTACGAGATCTTAACTAAGAGCTATTTCCCATCTTACTAAAATCTCCTAATGTGTTTAATAGTTTATCTCATGGATGTGTGTGCATGTGTGTGCGTGCATGTGTATGTTTGCACATGTGTTTTTCACTTCATCCAAGGTCACTTTTATCACCACCAATGTAGAAGAGCATGCTTAGGAGTGCTTTATTTTTGTCACCTGGGATGGAGTCAGGACAGCTAAGGGGATTTGCAATATGACACAGAGGAGGCTATTGACATCTTTGGATCTCAGACTGTCTCTGTAGAATACGGATGATGTGTTATACCTTTCAAATTTAAAGACCTAATTCATGTCATATACTTATCACAGAGTCTGGCATATAATACAGGCTCTTCATATGTGTATTTTTTGTTATTGAAATACTACCTAAGGCTAAAAATAACTTGTTAGCATAGCATTCTCTTTGATGAATATCAGGAAAATATGTATCACCCATGGATTGTCCTGTATAATTTAAAATGAAGCATTGCTCTGTATCTCAAGGGTCCTTTAAGGATTGCAGTGAATTCAAAGTCATGAAGCTATCTATATGTCACCAGGCTATATTTCGTGTTTCATTATGTTCTATTATTGGCTGCATAAATTGTGAGCATCTTTCCTTGTATCCTTCCTTCTTTCTTTCCTTCCTCTCTAAATATATGACTCTTATTTGGAATCCAACTTGTACCTATTAACCCCAAATCTCTGGAAGTGTATGAGCTGTATGGCAATTTCCCCATGAAAATTAAAAATGTTCATCAGCAGATGCTCACAGTTCTAGTACCTTAATCAGATGACCATGCTACTGAGGTCTCTGAATTTTCTTTGTCACTTTATTGTCTAATAATGAACTCTCTCCACTGTCTTGATCTTTCTTAGGATGACCAAGATGGACATTTCTTGAACATTTCAGTTTTCTTTTTCTTACCACCAAAACATAAAGTGTTAGTCAATGAAAATATATTAAAGTTCAAAGTTTCTGTCCATTATACAATTGGTGATATCATACTTACAAACAACAAATGAAACTGAGTCAATTTTTTTTCATTTTTTAAAAATTTAACCTTTAGTTAAAATGTAATTCCGTCATTTCCCCCTTCCCTTTCCTCCCTCCTCTCCCACCCATGTCTCCTCCCTCCAAACCCTTCCATGCCCTCCCCACTCTTTCTCAAAATGATGGCCTCTTTTTCTTTGGTTATTATTGTCACATGTGTAGCAGTACATAAATATATAACTACAACCTGCTGAGCTCATTTATTGTTGCTATTGGCTGCAGCCGCTTTGCCTCGATGTGTAGTGAATAAAACAGTGACTATCCTTAGCTCTCATTTTGTTTAATTTGCCATTATATATACAATATATACATACATACATATATATATGTATATATATATATATATATATATATATATATATACACATTTGAGGTTGTTCGAGTCCATCTGGATAATAAATAGCAAGTTATAAAGAATCACAGGGGCAACAAAAGATGTTCTGATCAACAGCTGAAAAGGGAGTTTCACTCCTCTACAAATTCTTTTCAGTCAGTGTGGTCAGAATGCAAGGAAGACAGCTCCTGAGGGTTAACAGACAGTTCTCCATGAATAAGCAACGTGGCTCCTACAGCTACTTCACTGAACCTAATGTGCAAGACTTTACAAGATCTTAAACCTAGAGAAGCTGCTGAGTCAGAGTCTGGCCAGGGGCCAGTCACATTCTCAGGGCAAGAACCTCACTATACTTATTATTTTATCCCATATGTATTTGAGTTCACTAGCATAATGCCGTAATAATAGACTGCATTTGAGAATCATTCTAAGCAAATTAATTCAATACATTAATTCCTGCTGCAGTGGTCCATGAAGATCATTAGGGGGTTGAAAATCAAATCCAGAATACATAAAAGAAGTTATTATTTTTGAAGGTGGCTGTAATGGTTAGTTTTAATTGCCAACTTTATACATTTTAGAATCATCTAGGAAGACAGTCTCTATAAGGGATTATCTAGGTTAGTTTGGCCTTTGGGCATGTCTGAGGGAGATTGTCTTGACTGTTTTAACTGAAGCTTTGTTTTGAACACCACTAATTTTTATTGATTATTTGATACTTTTATATGTATGATATATTTTGATCGTATGCTCACTTCTGTTATTGTCTCGTATACCTACCTACTCCTATTGAACTGCCTTATCTTTTTTCCTTAGCCTCCCTCCTACACTCTTCATCTGTTTCTGTGACCCACTGAGCTTAACTAGGATTGCTGGCATGAGCATGAGTGTGGGGGTCATTTTCTGGAGCATGGAAAACTTACCAATGGCTATAACATTAAATGACTCCACCTCCTCCAGAAGCCTTTAACTGAATGACTCCTTAGGGAGGGATGAGGCCTCATGAGACCCTCTCCATCTATGGCAGATTGTGAGTCTTCTGCAGGTAATCACACACTGTGAGTTCGTGAGCGCAAGAAGACAATGATTTCTAGTGCCCCATCCCTTCTTCCAGCTCTTACATTCTCTCCACCTGCTCTTCCAGGATGTCCCCTGCACCTCGGATGTGGTGATAGAGATGTCCTGTTTGAGATTATAAGTCACTGCATTAACTGTCATCCACTATTGAGAAGTTTCTCTCACCACAGTTGAAAACAGAATTTCTCTGGAATCCTGGTGTCTGATGTAAACTCTATGATTGTAATTTCTGTGTAAGCACATGTAAAATTGAGACTAGGTCTTATATTCATTTTAATGCCTCTGAAAATTAAACAGACTACAAAACTTCTAGAGCATATGAAAATATTTTGGTAAAATATTAATCAAGTATAACAATGAGATACTTTAATATTCCAGAAAAAAAATGCATTTAAAACTATTGGGTATATTAGTCTAGCTCAGCCTGGAGGGCAACTCTGAAGACAGATCTCAGTCCTAGATAGCTCTTCAGGGCATTAAAATACTGAGTCCTGCCTGACCATTTCATGGTGCGTCATGGTGCTGAGACTGAACACATCTTGGAATGCCTAGCATTTCACTAGCTCGACGGGCACCTGGGATGTACGCATGGACCATGAGCACCCTGCATTCTCACACTTGAAAGAGGGGACCTGACTTCCTGTTTTCATTCCAGTGGTGCACCCGAGAGAAGCCAGCATTTATCTACTGCGAATTCCAGCTCCATGAGAAGCCCCCCGGAAATCATGCAGGCATGAGAACTGAAGCAGACAATGAGTCTGCCTTGTCACATGACAAGCAGGAACTGAGGTCATGTAATATGGCAACCGTGGGAAAAATACAAGAGGTGATTCATGGGGGAACACCAGAAAACATGAGAAAAGTGAAGTAATTATATCCTACAGATTGGAAGTTTTTACTGGAAAACTACAGCCTATTAATTTGCATTTATGTCATGTAAACAAAAACAAGGAAACAGTGTTTGCATAATTACAGAAACAACTTAGCTGAGTATAAAAGGGGACCTGCAGGAAGGAGGCTCCAAAACGTGAAACTCACTCACTTGTAAACCCACCCAGAACCTCCACCTCCGACACCATGGTCAACTCCTGTTGTGGCTCTGTATGCTCTGAGGAGGGCTGTGGCCAAGGCTGCTGCCAGCCCAGCTGCTGCCAGACCACCTGCTGCAGGCCCACCTGCTGCCGCCCAAGCTGCTGTGTGTCCAGCTGCTGCAGGCCCAGCTGCTGCAGACCCCAGTGCTGCCAGTCTGTGTGCTGCCAGCCTACCTGCTGCCGCCCCAGCTGCTGCCGCCCCAGCTGCTGCCGCCCCAGCTGCTGCATCTCCAGCTGCTGCCAACCCTCCTGTGGTAGTTCTAGCTGCTGTGGCTCCAGCTGCTGCCTCCCCAGCTGCTGCCGCCCCTGCTGCCAGCCCTGCTGCCGCCCCTGCTGCCAGCCCTGCTGCCAGCCCTGCTGCCGCCCCTGCTGCCGCCCCTGCTGCTGCCTGCGCCCAGTCTGTGGTCAGGTCTGCTGCCACAGCACTTGCTACCGCCCGACCTGTGTGATCTCCACCTGCCCCCGCCCCATGTGCTGCGCCACCCCCTGCTGCTGAGACCTTCCTTTCCTGAACACACCCATTATCCCTACTTCCTTTGTTACGAAAACAGACCTTGTGTACCTCACAGCTGTCTTGAGAGAGGCCATTCCCATGTCCCAGACTCAGGAAAGCTGCCTCTGTTGACTTCTACCTTGTCTCAGGCCAAAATATGAAATTGGAGGTTAAGAAGTTAATACAGGGTGGCTCCTGAAGAAGTTAGGGGAGGAGTGGAGGTGTTAATGTGATCAATATTCATTGTATGTGTTATGAAATTCTCAAATAATTATAAAATATTGTGTTTTAAAAAGAAATTCATCAGAGTCCAGGTCTTCTCTATCCAAAGTGGAAATACCTCCAGCGCCTGTAGATTAAGATTATGGAGCTGAAAGTCTCACGGTGCCATCTTGCTTTCACTCTAACTATGACATCTCTGTACTTTATTGCTGCTGCTTCTAAATAAAATGCATTTCATGGGAATAGAAATACAATTTTCCCGTGTCTGTTGCTGTATAGCGATTGTCTTTAATTAAGGAAATTATATTCAAAGCTCAACTACACCAACATTTCCTGACCTTGTTCTCACAACTTCAGAAAATATCCAACACAATGAGTCAAAAATTGGAGGAAAGGAAGTAACCATGGTTGATTGCAGTGAGTTCATGAGCGCATCAACCTGGCATGTCCAGAAGACACTGGCTTTTGTAGTCTTTCCACTCTCTTTTTCATGATCTTTCCTGAGCAGTGTGTGCATATGTGTGGGTGTACATGTATGTGTGTGTGTGTGTGTGTGTGTGTGTGTGTGTGTGTGTGTGTGCATACTCTCATGCATGTATGATAAAATGTCCAGTTTAGGCCTGAGTTCTCCCCAGTCTCTTAATCTCTACTTGGATGGTTATGAGTCTGCATTTAACTGCCCATGTCTACTGCAAAAAGCAGCTTTGTTGATGAGGGCTGAGAAATGCCTACTTTCTTCAGAGGCCTAACTGCTGATAAGTTGCCCATGTTACAAGAAATAACCTATCCCTGCCCACTAGGCCAGGCCTGCTTAAACTCAGCAGTCACACTCATGGACAAAGGCATGAAAGAAGGAAGGGGGGCTAGTCAGGAGGAAGCTTTGGGTCTGAGGAGGGGATGAGACTGGGTGACAGAAAATGAAATAGACTAAAAACCTGCTACACAAGGATGAAAGTGTCAAAGAATAAAAAAGAAACAAAGTAGGGCAGGAGAGATGACTCAGCAGTTAAGAGCACTGACTGCTCTTCCAGAGGACCTGGGTTCAATTCCCAGTACCCACAAGGCAGCTCACACCTGTCTGTAACTCCAGTTCCAGAGGATCCGACACCTTCACTCAGACATACATGCAAGACAAATACCAATGAACATAAAAAATTAAATTATATAAAAAAAGAAAATAAAAAGAAAAATAAAAAAGTGAAAGAATACTTTAAGATGTTCTATACCAAGTATTCAAATGACAGCCAGCTTTTCATAGTAATCCATTAAAACACTTTTAAGTCTATCATCTCTTTGAATATCTGCATGGACTTCAAAATGAGTGCAGTGTTAAGAACACATGGAGGAAAATCCTTTTCTTAAATGCCAGTGTACGACTCTCCTGGATTTTTTGTTTTTCCATGTGAAACTGAGTATTATCCTTTCAAGGTCTGTAAAGAATTGTGTTGGAATTTTGATGGAGGTTGCATTGAACCTATAGATTGCTTTTGGTGGGTAGCCATTTTTATTAGAATAATCCTACTGATCCCTGAGCATGGGAGATCTTTCCATCTTTTGATATCTTCTTCAATTTTTTTTTCAAAGACTTGAAGTTTTTGTCATACAAGTCTTTCACTTGTTTGGTTAGGGTTGTGGCTATTGCGAAGGGTGCTGTTTCCCTGATTTCTTTCTCAGTCTGTTTGTCATTTGTATATAGGAGGGATACTGATTTTTTTTTCCTGAAATAATCTTGTATCAAGCCATATTGCTGAAGGTGCTTATCAGCTGTAGGAGTTCCCTGGTAGAAGTTTTGGGGTCTCTTATGCATATCATCTGCATATATATGTTGACTTCTTCTTTTCCAATTTGTATCCCCTTAATCTCCTTCAGTTGTCTTATTGCTCTAGAGTACTATATTGAATACTATACTATATTTTGAGTACTATATTGGATAGATATGGAGAGAGTAGACAACTTTGTCTTGTTCCTGATTTTAGTAGAATTGCTTTGAATTCCTCTCCATTTAATTGGATGTTGGCAATCGGCTTGCTGTGTATTGCCTTTATTATGTTAAATTTTCCCTTGTATCCCCAGTCTTTCCAAGACATTTATCATGAAGGGGTGTTGGATTTTATCAAAGGCTTTTTCAGCATCTAATGAGATGATCATGTGGTCTTTCAGTTTGTTTATATGGTGGATTACATTGACAAATTTTCATATGTTGAACCATCCCTGCATCTCTGGGATGACGCCTACTTGATCACAGTGGGTAATCTTTTTGATGTGTTTTTGGATTCAAATTGCAAATATTTTGTTGAGTATTTTTGTATCTATGTCCATAAGGGAAATTGGTCTGTAATTCTCTATCTTTGTTGAATCTTTGTGTGGTTTGGATATTAGGGTGACTATGGCCTCATAAAATGAATTTGACAATGTTCTTTCTGTTTCTGTTTTGTGGAATAATTTGATGGAGTGTTAGCATTAACTCTTCTTTGGAAGTCTGGTAGAATTCTGCACTAAAACTATCTGTCTGGCCCTGGGCTTTTTTGATGAGTGGAGTGGGAAGACTTTTAATAACTGATTCTATTTCTTTAAGTGTTATAGGTCATTTAAATTGTTTATCTGATTTGATTTAACTTTGACAAGTGGTATCTATTGAGAAAATTATTCATTTCTTTTAGACTTTTCCAATTTTGTGGAGTATAGATTTTTAAAGTATGATCTAATGATTCTTTGGATTTCCTTGGTGTCTGTTATGTTCCCGTTTTGTTTCTGATTTTGTTAATCTGGATATTCTCTCTCCCTGTGTTTTAGTTAGTTTGAATAAAGGGTTTGTCTATCTTGTTGGTTTTCTCAAAGAAAAATTCTTTGATTCTTTGTATTGATCTTTTTGTTTCTATTTTATTGATTTCAGCCCTCAGTTTGATTATTTCCTGCTGTCTACTCTTGTGTGTGCTTGATTCCTTTTGTTCTAGAGCTTTCTGGTGTGCTTTTAAGTTGCTGGTATGAGACCGCTCAACTTTTTAATGTAGGCACATAGTGCTATGATTGTTCCTCTTAACGCCACTTTCATTGTGTCTCATAAATTTGAGTATGCTGCGCAATCATTTTCATTGAATTCTAGGAAGTCTTTAATTTCTTTCTTTATTTCCATCTTGACCAAATAGCCATTCAATAGAAATTTTAGCCCCAGTTCCTTTTATACTTTTAAACTTTTATTTTTGAAAAGAATCAGGCTTATTGAACAATTGTAATGACAATGCAAAGAGTTCCTCATTGCATGTTGCTTTCACCAAGATTCATCATTTTGCCACACTAGATGTCTGTCTAGACAGACACATTAGGAGACAGGTAGGTAGGTGGATGGATGGACAGGTGGATGAATGGATGGGAACAGGAATGGATGGATAGATGAAAAGAGGGAGAGAAGAAATGAAGGAATGAATAAAGAATCAAAGGCCAATGAATGTAGTCAGACATACACACACACACACACACACACACACACACACACACACACACACACATATATATATATATATATATATATATCTCTTCTAAATTTAGGGACACTTTTATATAACCACAATACAGATACAAAATTAAATAATATGTTATTCAATATTATTATCTATTGTCTAATGTGCATTCCATATTCAAATGCTGTCAACACCTTCCTATAGAGGAATACTCACAGCTATGCATTACGCTTAGATCCTGCATCTCTTTGATTTTCTTAAATCTGAAACATTTCCTCAGGCTGTCACTTTATTAGAAGATTCTGACAGTGCTAAAGAGGGTGAGCCAGTCATTATGTGCAGAATTCCTCAGCCTTTGTTTATCTTAAGTTTCCTTAAAGCTACAGTCAGATTATGCCTTTGACAGGAATAATAAATGAGGTGTCTTTTCAAAGTGTGACTGCATTTATCACATGTGTGTGAGCATGAGAGCATCTGTGCATGCACACATGTGTGCTCATTCATGTGTGTGCAGATGCAAATATATGCTCATGTTTGTGGAGACCAGAAAATGACCTTGGGTATTGTGCCTCGGGCACTGCCTATCATTTTGATTTTGAGACAAGACCATTCATTAGCCTGACTGGCCAGCAAGTCCCAGGGTTCCACCCATGTCTGCCTCCCCAGTGCTGAGGTGGCAAGTACATGCCACTATGCTTGGAATACTTTCTGGGGTTGAACTCAGGTCCTCAGGCCAGCAGAGCAAGCATGAACCATCTTTACAGCCCTAACACCAATACTGATCCCCAGATTAAGAGTTCTTTCATAGTAAGTTAATATTTTTCCATTTTAAAATTGATAAATAACTGATAGAGAAATACTTTGAAATATACAAATATTACATTCCTAGTCAAACTTTTATCCAATCATTTTAGGATTTATTGAGATTTCCCTGACCAAGTTTTATTATGATGGATATAGAGACTCTAACTCCCTACTCCTTTCCCGTTTAACTAATCACCACACCACTGTTGTGGAAAGTTTCTCACCTTCTTCTATTTCTCTACTTAGTCTTAGTATAGACCAATTATTCTTATTTTACTTGGTGTGTTGAAATCCATTGCTATCATTATTTGTTTTGGTTTTCAAGTTGTCCCATACTGGGCCAGTGAGAGTGCCTTCAAGGTGGCACCAAAAGCCTTTTCATATTTAAAACAGTGAGTCATTCATGACAGCTTGAAACTGGGTGAAGGAAGTATCATTTTGACTGCATACCTTGAGGTAGTCTGAACAGCCCACCAACTAATGAGCATCCTTGACTCACAGACATGATTCTCTTCCTCATAGCTCACAAGGAGCTATCTCACAATGATAAGACCCCCCCCACCCATGTGGCCCATTTACCTACTATCATTATACTTCCCTTTTGACATCAAAAGAGATGTGAGCATCATGAGACACATTGGCTTAAATAGCATCATGAGTGATACACAAACCACAGGCATAACCAGTGACCAGGCCCATAGGATGGACCCACCCAAGAAGCAGGGTGCACAAACAGGGAAGGCAATTCTGAGACAAAAGTCAGATTAGGCAATCTCAATACACAAGGAAAAGGAAATTGTGTGTTTCTTCATCTTCAAGTATTTGAAAAGGAAAACCAATGATCTGACTTAATGATGCCCATTTCTTCAGGGAAAAGAAAAACAACCTGGAAATATTCCAGGCTGTGGTCACAGCACCCTTAGCAGAATATAAAAGGGGGCATTCAGCAAGGGGATGTTCAGATTCACTACACTACTCACTCCCTTACTAATCAGAACCTCCACCTCCGACACCATGGTCAACTCCTGTTGTGGCTCTGTCTGCTCTGAGGAGGGCTGTGGCCAAGGCTGCTGCCAGCCCAGCTGCTGCCAGGCCAGCTGCTGCAGGCCTACCTGCTGTGTTTCCAGCTGCTGCCGCCCCAGCTGCTGCCGCCCCAGCTGCTGTGTGTCCAGCTGCTGCAGACCCCAGTGCTGCCAGTCTGTGTGCTGCCAGCCTACCTGCTGCCGCCCCAGCTGCTGCATCTCCAGCTGCTGCCAGCCCTCCTGTGGTAGTTCTAGCTGCTGTGGCTCCAGCTGCTGCCGCCCCAGCTGCTGCCGCCCCTGCTGCCAGCCCTGCTGCCGACCCTGCTGCCAGCCCTGCTGCCGACCCTGCTGCCGCCCCTGCTGCTGCCTGCGCCCAGTCTGTGGTCAGGTCTGCTGCCACAGCACTTGCTACCGCCCGACCTGTGTGATCTCCACCTGCCCCCGCCCCATGTGCTGCGCCACCCCCTGCTGCTGAGACACTTGCCATAGATCCACTTTGCTCTCTATAGATTCAGATCTTTTGTGCATGTAATTTAACTTGAAATACGTGGAGTGAATTGATACCGTGAAATTCAGCCTCATGAGACCAGTGAGGAGCCAGACCGTGTGGATGATGTCTGGAATCTGGATTTCACCTGGAAACAAATTTTATGGAACCGGCAAACAACTGGAAAAACATTCCGCTTCACGCCCTCTCTATAGGACTTTGCAGTTGGAGTAATCTAATATATGCCTGTACCAAAGGAAACTTCCCAACTTTCTGCAATAAAAACTTAGTATGACTGTTGTTCTTCTAAGATGGCGTCTACTCTTCTTAAACAAGTGTGTCTGGGGGGTTGGAGGATGGTTCTGTCAGTAAAGCACTTGCTGCACAAGCATGGGGACCTGAATTCTATCACCAGAACCTGTGTAAAAAGCCAGATGTGGGGGTACATGCTCATAAACTCAGTGCTGTGGAGGCAGAGGAAGGGAGTTCCGTGTGCTGCTGGGCTAGCCAGGTTAGCCCAACTGGTGAACCCTAGGTCCCAGGGACAGATTCTGTTTCAAAAACTAAGATGGACAGACTCTGCTGAATGACATCAGAGGTTGACCTCTGGCCTACCTGAACACACACACACACACACACACACACACACACACACACATACACACACACACACACACACGCGTGCACACAGAACAAGTGTATTTCACCTACAGAGCACACAAGAAAATTTTCTTGCTTTCCAGGTTCCCTTGGTCACTGGCCGACCTTTCCCTGGATGTCTTACTATTTCACAAACTATTTAGCACTATGAGTCAATTTTGGGGAAAGAGAAAAGCTATGAGAAGTAGCGATGCTTGTAGGACTTTTGTTCTTCCCTCTTCACACCAGGAGGTTTGTGTCTTTGGGATCCAGATGCCACAAGCCTGTATTGCCTCTGCCTCCATGCAGAGCAGGGCTTTCGTGTGAGCACAAAGCACAATGACACCTATGTATAAAGATGCCAAGATGAAACTCAGTAATATGCTAACTTCACATATTAACTGGAAAATAATATGGCAGACATATTCCAATATCAGATTAAAATGTACTTGAAATAGAGCAGGACTTCACCTATGACTCACCTTTTCTCTTGATAGAAAGTTTTCAAATCCTGAAATACCCAGAGGACAGAACCATATCTTAGAGGAGAGGATAGATTCAGTAGGGAAAATAGTCAAGCAAAATGTGGTCAACTGCGGGCTGCATGTCCACATCAGAAAAGCCCCCACAGAGCTCCTGGCGATTGTTTCCATGTTCTTTTGACATATGGGCCTGCTGAAAAGCGAGTCTGCTGCCATTGACCCTCTCGGATTCCAGACTCTTCACATACTCACTCAAAGAGCATGTACTGAATGCTTCCAACACAACCCCCATTGTAAGTGCTGAGGCAATAGTGGGAGCCGACATACACAAGGCTCTGCACTTAAGAGTCTACACCACAATGGAGTTTCCCAATAAAGTATCTGATGTGTTTGTTCCCTTTCAGATTTTTTCCAGGAAATGGATAGATGTCTCAATGGTTAAGAGCATCGGCTGCTCTTCCAGAGGACCCGAGTTAGATTCCCAGCACCAACACGGTGACTCTACAGATGACTGTAAATCCAGTTGCAAAGAATCCAGCACTTTCTTCTGGTCTCCGTGGGCACCAGGTGCACACATGGTACATAGACGTAAGTGCTGACAGAACACCCATGTACAGAAAACGAAATGAAATAATAACAAAACAAATAAAAAACAAAACCCTTGTCCTCTTCAGTTTGTACATAGTATTTTTGCTGGTAATTTTATACATAGGGATGAAATTGAGCTTTAGAGTTCCCCTTTAGATGAAAAATGGGAAATATTCTCTCAAAAGGATATTTTTTGTTAATGACGTATCCTATCTTCCCATTCTAGAGAGCACCTGAAATCTTGTAGCTTGGAGAGGAAGCCAGAAGTGCAGACCCATGGATGAGGGACAAAATGGAAATACACCCTCAGCTATTCGCTTAGGATAAAAACTAAATGAGCTGAATCTAATCTAAAAGGCATTGCATGAGACAAAGTGAGATCCATTATTATGATGATGGTGATATAAATATATAAATATAGAGCAAACCTCAACTCAGAAGCTCTAGGAAAGGGGATCCCAAACTAAGACAATCGGAAAACACAAATATTTACATTATGATTCATAACAGTAGCAAAATTACAGTTATGAAGTAGCAATGAAATAATTTTATGGTTGGGGGTCACCCCAACATGAGGAACTGTGTTAAAGGGTCGCAGCGTTAGGAAGGTTGAAAAGCCCTGCTCTAGGAGAACCAAGAATCAGAAAGAAACTCAATATACTGTGCAACTAAAGATAGACCCACAGGAAAACTGATTGAATTTGAAGTAACCAATCTGTAAGGCAGAGCTTATGCTTGGCAGCGATCTCCAAACCAAGATAAATTAAAACACCCCCTCCCCGAAAACTTGCTTTCAAATGCAGAGTATCACTTTTATAACAAAACTTGCAATAGACCAAATATTTCTCAGTAAAATACTAGCCAGATGAGCTATATTACATCCACAAAATCGAATATTGGATGGCTGAAATGCAATGAGAAATATCTGAAGCCACTACTATAGAATAAATAATAATACACCATTACTGTGGTACAGTAAGTGAACCAAAGCAAGCTGTAAGTGTGCATAGTATGAGAACAGCTATCAAACAAAACTGACAGGAAATATGAACTTGTATTAAAATAACAATGTGAAGACAACCTTCAGTTTTAAAAATGATAAACATTTAAGTTGGTTGATATACTCATTAATCCAAGTTAATCACTATCCAATAAGCACATGAGCCAAGAAATTGCACTGTGCCTCACAAATATGTACACATAACATGTGTCAATCAAAAACAAGTTCTATTCATAGAGGAGAGAGAATGCATGCAGAGAAGAAAGACAAAAGGCAAGACTTCCTTGGATATGCCTCATTTTGCAAAAATTATTTTGGAACCCAAAATAATTTACATAATTATAAAACAATTAAAATTTAAAAGTAATTTTTAGGACTATGAGAAGCAAGCATGGGATGTGTAGTCAATTCTAAGTATATTCATTTATTTTTTTCATGATCAAATCCCTGGTACATGCAGCCTAAGGAAGAAGAGTTTGCTTTGCTTACACTCAGGGGCATATGGTGCATTAGACCTGCAGTGAGGGTGTGAAGTAGCTGGTCACACTGACTCTATAGTCAGGAAGCAGAGAGAGATGAATGCTGGTTCTCTGCTCCCCTTCCTCCCTTTATTCTGCAGGGGATCACAGCCTAAGGGGTGTGTCATCAACATTCAGGATGGGTCTTCCTTGCTCTGTTTAAGTTTTCTGGAAACACTCTCTTTGATACATTCAGATGTGCATTTCCATGGAGAGTCTAAAGCCCATCAAGTTGACTGTGAGGATTATCCATTGCACCCAGCATGATGATGTGGTAATACATAGTTCTAAATACTCACTTAGGGAGTTTACAGTCTGGCATGAGACAATTGAACACATTCAGATTGTAGTCATTTGGGCTCAAGCAGGGCTCTTCCCAGTATAAAGACAAGCAGAAGGAACAGGTGAAATTTCTACAAACTAATAAAATAATGCCAAAGAAAACACTTGGGAGGAAGGAGGGTGGGGCTGCCAATTGGCTTGAAGTAAAAGAACTTTCTGGAAAGAAGCTGAAGGTACATTCTAAGGAGATGAAACAGGACAATAAAAGGTATGGGAGTTAATAATATTTCTGCTTTGTGGACTACTGAAGTCTCTAACAACTTTAACTCATTTCTGCATGAGCTGCAGTGACCACATGCCTTGGGGGTTCTTTGAAAAGTAAACTCACTACAATAAACACAAATTATGAATAGGAGGTCTGGAGCATGGCCAACAGTCACTAACAGTGATGGCCTCTGTGAGCTCGATTGTCATTGAAAAATATATGAGATGTTTAATTCTTGATTTGGATCCTGGTCTTCCACACTTCCAATTTGTGTCAGAATTTCCTTTTTAACATAGCACACTTTAGAGTTTATTAAAAAAAAAAAAAAAAAAAAGAGCAAAGCCTACTATACCTCATTATCCAAGCAAAATATCTTGAACCCATAATTACTAAAAGAGTGTCAGGAACAGATGCTTCACATGAGGTTTTTTTTTTTTTTTAAATAGAAAGCAGAATCCACTGCATATGCTGGCTTATCAGACCCGTTCACATTTCATATATCATACATAGAGAGGATGACTAGGGAGCTGAATTTGACTCCTTAAATAAGTCTTTGCCATTGAAAAACATTCATATAAAGCTAACCATTCAGGTACAATCTTTACAACAAGCTATGAACATTATTGTCCCCAATTGTAGCCAAATAACTGCACTGATGAATCTTTCCCATCTCTCTCTTTACCTGTGCGCTCCAGACAATAGCTTATGTGTATTCACATAAAAAAGAGACAACATTTTGTGAGCTATTCTCAAAATATTATCAGGCAGGCATAGGGTGACACATGTATCATGTGCTAGCACCAGTTTAGAAGGGACACGGGCAGAAACAGAAGCACAAATGTTGTTTCATGCGCCTTAATTCAATGAATCATAACAATGTAGAAAGAGAAAATGAGGCCTTTTCTACATGCTGGAATATTTAACCTCGCAAACATAATTATGCCTTAACTACACTAATTAATGTCCTGGTAAGAAAAACAAGGAAAGGAGCTTTGCTCATGGTGACACCAGTTGCTGAACAGACTATATAAAAGGGAACACCCGCCAGGAGACCTTCAGATTCTCAAAACTCACTTTCTCAGAAACCCATCCAGAACCTCCACCTCTGACACCATGGTCAACTCCTGCTGTGGCTCTGTCTGCTCTGAGGAGGGCTGTGGCCAAGGCTGCTGCCAGCCCAGCTGCTGTGTGTCCAGCTGCTGCAGGCCCACCTGCTGCCGCCCCAGCTGCTGCGTGTCCAGCTGCTGCAGGCCCACCTGCTGCCGCCCCAGCTGCTGTGTGTCCAGCTGCTGCAGACCCCAGTGCTGCAGACCCCAGTGCTGCCAATCTGTGTGCTGCCAGCCTACCTGCTGCCGCCCCAGCTGCTGCATCTCCAGCTGTTGCCAGCCCTCCTGTGGTGGTTCTAGCTGCTGTGGCTCCAGCTGCTGCCGCCCCAGCTGCTGCCGCCCCTGCTGCCAGCCCTGCTGCCAGCCCTGCTGCCGCCCCTGCTGCCGCCCCTGCTGCTGCCTGCGCCCAGTCTGTGGTCAGGTCTGCTGCCACAGCACTTGCTACCGCCCGACCTGTGTGATCTCCACCTGCCCCCGCCCCATGTGCTGCGCCACCCCTTGCTGCTGAGCCTCCATCCCTGGATCCAGCTTCTATTTCACCTCTGTCCCCATAGCTGACCACAAGGACACGCAGAATGGGCTCAATGTCGTTTTGTTGAGTCATGTCTCTGTATTTCTTTGGACCCCACCACAGCTATTCTAGCTTCAATCCAAATCCCCCATGTGGACCTCTCCTTCCCACCTACGTGGGGACTTACTCGCCCCTCACCAGCCGTTGAATTGGCCTGACTAATCCTTCCTAGATTCTTCTCAACTTCTAGATTCAGGTCACAAAGTTCAAGGGTGCACAGGTTGATTTCAATATTTCTGTGTCGTTGATTTTCATAGTCTCGGTCTTAATTGTTCAATGAAGATGCTCTTGGGTCATTCTTACTCTCCCAGTTTTCCTGTGTTGTATCACTGTGTTAAAAATAAATCACCACTTTTGTAATCTATTGTGATTTTATAAGTCTCTAAGATTTCTTCTTAATCCTGAAGAACATGTGTTTTGCCTGTACCCGCAGGATGAATGAAAAGACTCTTTTGGTGAAAAAATTTTTTAAACTACTTTTGACTTTTTCATCAACAGTCTCCTTTGTTTTTAGACAACATGGGAAAACTCATGGGTAGAAATCAGAAAATCCATTTTAGAAAGATGGTAAATCATGTTCCATGGGTCTACATCTGTTTATATTATGCACATGCAAACATCTCGTAGTAACTAAAAGGAGAGTAGAGTCAGGTGTCTGTAGCTGAGACAGGCAATTGGTTTTTTTAAAAATGCAACAAAGGCTGCAGGTGCTAAACATGAGATCAGAGGATGAAGGTGAGAGATGGAGGCTTTGTATTAGTGTGTAGACTCTCACTTGCAAACAGAGGAAAGACGAAACTGAAGCCAAATCTATGACTTAAAGTAACCAAGCTCCAGGATGCTGCTTCTCTCAGTCTCGACTGTTCCGCCACACCAGGACAGATTCCCTAACTAGGACAGAAGACACTGAGGTATGGCATGGTAGCATCTGGCTTGTGCGACTAAAGATCTTAGGTCTTCGAATGTCCCTGAGCTCTCTGGAGCAGAAATAGTCTTTTTGTTGTTGTTGTTGAAGAACAAGTTATCTTTTTGTTTAAAGATAAAGCGATGCCTAGCCTTGAAAGATAACACAAGATCCTTTCCCTCTCCTCCCGGGCTTCTCCTCTTTGCCACACACCAATAGCCCAGTCTCCTGCCCCACCTGACAGGCTTTTCAATTGTCTCAGACAAGAAAGTAAATCCACCCCTGCTACTCTATCTAGGCTTTGAGTGGAGATCTTTTATTCTTATGCCCTCACTTCCTCTTTCTCTATTTTCTCATTTTAAATTTTAAGCAAATGCGTGTGTGTGTGTGTGTGTGTGTGTGTGTATGTGTGTAACACATTTAACAATTTTTACTTTATGTGTATAGGTCTTTTGTCTGCACGTATGTCCATGCACCACATATGTGCCTGGTGCCAATGGAGACCATCAGATCCACTGGAACTGGGGTTACCAATAGCTGTGAGCAACTACGTGGGTGCTAGGGATCAAACCCAGGTCCTCTGGAAGAGCAGCAAGTGCTCTTAACCTCTGAGCCAGCTCTCTAGAAAACATATATTTTTATATTTGCATCATGGGCTGTTTGGACATACTATAGAATGTGATGTATGTTTATTACATTTTCTTTACCACTGCTCAAAAATATACTGCTTCACAGTAGCACAGAGAGGGGCACCCTCTTCACTTAAGGGCTACACAGTGCTGTGTTGTAGAAAGTTGATGTCGTTCATTCTTCTGCCTCCTATAGAAGGATGCCCAGGCTATGTCCAGTTCTGTTTTCTTTCTTTATTTCCCCTTACAAATAAAACTGATTTAATAATCTCGTAAAATATCTTCATATTTTTTATGGATTACATATGAGGATACTTTATAGAGGAATAGCTAGCTATGCCCAAGAATAATGTTGTTATTTATTGGCAAATCTTCACAAGAAAATCATGAGCACATTTATTTCCACATTGCCAGATTTTGAGCTTTTGACAACCTAATGGATGAAAAGTATCATCTCTAATTATTTTATTTCTTTTATTATGCAAGAGAGGGCATATGACTTATTCCCCCACCTCCAAATATTTTCGAGGCCTTGATGTTTTCATACTTTACTTCTCACTGCCATGTATCTTTGTATGAAACATCTTTCTTCCCCTTAAGCAGCTTATCTTTTTCATTTTTACCTTTCAATACTCAATTCTATTTAATTGGAAGTAATTCTTCCATCTCAAATATCAATGAGGTTTTTATTATTATTATTATTTTTGTTGTTGTTATACTTGTCTCATCTTTTCTCTCTCTTTTCAAAAATTTTTTTCATACAAAATATTTTGATAATGTTTTCCCCTCCCCTTGCTCTGCCCAGATTCCCCTCACCTCCCTTCCCAGCAAACTTTGCCTTCTCCCTCTCTTGAAAACAAAACAAATATGAGAATCAAAACAAACAATAAGACCAAAAATAACAAAACAAGGTGGAACAAAAAGCACGCAAAAAAATGTAGTGCTTGTCTAATAATACCAGAAATATAATTATAAATGTGCTCATTTCAACCGTTAGGTGAATTACTAGCTTACCTTTACCAATACCAAATCCATTCATGTGTCCTGTGCTTTTTTAAGACATTTCAAGCTGTCCTGGAAAATGGGAGTTGAGCACAATTATACACCACTTATCACAAATGTCCAATGTCTGAAGTTATGCCATTCTTTAATTAATTCTTTTAATGTTTTTATTGATTAAATTTGTTCTTTGACAATTTCATACATGGATAAAATTCATTCTGATTATTCTCACCCCCACCCTCTCTTATCTCCTTCCCACCCATCAGTCCCCCTCCCTACAATTGCTGCTCCCTCATCTATGTATTTTTGTTTTGTGGCACAGTGAGTTAAACCGCGCCGCCGAGATGTGTTAGACTAAGTGTGGTGCTCACTGGGGCCTGATCTATTCATCCGCGAGTAAAGGAAATAAAGGCAAGCACTACGCCTTGCCCACAATCTATCAGTAGCCAATAGTTTAACAGGAATGATTAGAGCCCCGCCCTAATCCGTGACTGATTGCTGACAGGGCCAGTCTTGTGCAGGATTGGAGGGGGACAGAACAGGCTCTGGCTGTGACTTGCTTAGAGGATGGCAGTCCACAGCCTTTCTCCCTATCTTCCCGATCTTATATTCTTCTAGTCTGCTCTTTGGCGATGTTCCCTGAGTCTTAGAGGACGTAGTGTTTTATTTAGAACTTAACATTCAGCTGTCTCTTATTTTTGGCCCTTTGAACAGCTGTACATCTCTGTATTTGTTGCTATTGGCTGCAAAGAGAGGTTTCTCTACTTAGACTGAGTAGCATTTGTCTACAGGTATAAACATACACACCTAGAAAACAGTTTGCCTTAATTTCAATCTAGCTAAACAATAGTAGGACGTTTCCTTCTAGGGACTATGACTTTTCTAGACAGTTTTTCACCTTGGACTATAATACCAGGCATGGATTGCTTCTGATTTATCTTGGAAGCTCTTTATGTTCCACCCCACCTCTCTCTCTCTCTCTCTCTCTCTCTCTCTCTCTCTCTCTCTCTCTCTCTCTCTCTCTCTCTCTCTCTCTCTCTCTCCCATTTCTGGTTTTATTTGTTTGTGATGGCTTAGTATGCAGTATTTTAAAAACTTTTGTTGAGTTTGTTTTTGACAATTTTATTGATGTATAACGTATCCTGATTACTGGTGTGCATTTTTTCATGCCAAAACTATCAGGAAGGATTTGAATGCAAAAAGTGTGTTTGTTCACATGTAAGAGGCAGAAGCATATGAAACTTCTCACATGATGAGGCTCCATGTAGCTCTGTCTTTGTAACTAACTCTAGCTAACTTCATTGAAATGTCTATCAAGACAATGCTTTTCCTCCTTTCTACATTTATTCTTACAACCCTAGACAGGCATTCACATTTCACCCCTTCAATACAACCACCATCTGAGTGTTCTTCCTGCTTCCTACCATTCTCACACCTCCAAATTATTTGCAAGCCCTGGATGTTGCTCACACTTTTATTCCTACTAGGTGATGACATGGCATTCAGTATAAATTCAAGAAAATCCTTAAATTCTCTTCATCCTACTCATCAAGTGTTGTCTTCCTCTGCAGTCCTCACACATGATTGACAGGTTATTGAGCCTATCAAAAGCCCAAACACAGGCCCATCCAAGCCTGTGTTCATCATCTGAATGTTTTTTCTACACTCAGATAGATTTATCTCTGTCACTGATAAGTGCCTTTGTTTTTAATAAATCACATATTCGCTCAACTAACCTATCACTTAGAACTGGGCATCATACTAATAAATGCAAGTGAGAGATTTTCTTGAGACTACGACCTTTTAGGCTGTATCTTGGAAAGGGAGATAAAACTAAACAGTTGTGATATGATGTGATACCCTAGAACTGAGGCAATAGAGAAAGAAAGGTTCCGTTGAGTGTAGTAGATGTCCAAAAAGAGATCAGAAGTGAGCTGTGCTGGGCATTGAAGGATGAGTAAGGATTTGATAACTTGACAAAGGAGAAAACAGCATTCTAGGCAAATAGAATATTCTAGGCATAAGAAATGACACCAGATTATCATTTTTCATGTTCTATGAGAGAGTGGTTGTGTCCCTTCAGTCTATTTGGGACTTCAGTCACCTCGGGTGTAAGGAATTAACAAGAACTGCACCCACCTCAGAATCCTTGAGAAATGTAAATAAGATAACAATTACGGAGGACTCCAAAAATTCCTGGCACAAAGTAGGTATTCAGCTAATTTTAACTAGCAGGGTTATCACACTGTCCATTAGGAATGCACAGATTTGAATACCTAAGGGTTATCTTATTGACTAGTCCAACAACCTTGGGAATAGCTGGCAAGCTCTTTACCATGTCCTGTCCCCTTAATTGTTTGTAGGATGTAGATGAAAGTTTATGCCTTTATTTCTGTCTTATT